TCAGCAGGCAAAAATAAACCTCTGCTGTGTCTGCACGTAGTCGTTACTAACTAAATGCCAAGCTCTTCACACGGTGCTTTGTGTCAAGAGGGGATTCAGAGAGTCATAAATCCATCCAACCAGCACCAGTCACTTTATAAAAATAACAACAATGGAAATGAAACAAGCTGAGTGGTTATTTCATCCAGCCTGCGTATAGCGTGTGTCCTGCAGCCAGCTTTTGGCCACAGCCAAAGCTTGTCAGTGTCACTCTATTCAAGGGTTTCAGTGGGCTTGGAAATATGCCCAAGTTGTGAAACCAGAACCTGAACCAGTCTTGGTGCTCACAAAGGGAGCGGGGGGCTTCATACCCCAAGATCTACACCAGATCTGGCTGTGTTTTCATTGCTCAGGGAATGGGACCCATTTAAACTCCTGTAACCTCAACCTAAAGAGCTATCTCTTGTCTTTGCCACACTGTTGTAAGCAAAGATGTGATTAACAGTTATTTTGGAGGCTCCAGGTAAGGTGGATCAGCAAATTGGTCTGGATTAAAAATAATCATAGGATCATAGAATGGTTTGGGTTGGACGGGACCTTCAAGATCATCCAGTTCCAACCCCCCTGCCATCAGCAGGGACACCTTCCACTAGACCAGGTTGCTCAAAGCCTCATCCAGCCTGGCTGCAAACACTTCCAGGCAGGAGCAGCCACCACCAGTGTCCCACCACCCTCACACCGAAGAATTTCTTTCTCATATCTCATCTCAATCTCCCCTCTTCCAGTTTAAAGCCATTACCCCTTGTTCTACCACTCCCTGCCCTTGTAAAAAGTCCCTCCCCAGCCTTCGTGTAGGCCCCTCAAAAACAGTACAAGAAAGTATTTTTAACCTGGATCAAACTCAGGATTTCTTCCTGAGTCCAAGCTCTTTACTACTGGACAGATTGAGTGACCATAGCTAGGCTGTTCCATCACCTGGAGGTAGCACCTGACATCTCGTTATCATAAGGCTGCTATTTTCTCTTTGACATGGCTTTCTCTCTTGTTTAGAAAATTAAGAGCCTGTGCTAGATGCAAAACTAATTCTTCATCCTTTGTACATCCCTAACAGCCATATGAGAGAAATAAAGGCAGCTGTAAAAGCACTCCCATAGGCAATCTATATATGTCCTCTTCTATCAAAGACTGTGACTCTCCTAGGACTGAGCGATGCTCACACATGCTCCAAGGCATGGGGATGCCCGTCCTGAAGCAAAAAGGGTTACAACTGCTATAGCAGCACTTGGCTTTTCCCACCTTTAAGGTTGGCTGTGGCCTAGCAATGTCCCTTTCCTCAGGCAAACCCCAGGTGCAGCAGCACTCCTCAACACATCCATCAAAACAATGCTTCAGGTTCCTGTCCCTGCCACGGTCACTGATCGCTTCTAAATTCAGGCAGTAACTCTGAGAGCTGCACGTGCAGAGAACTGTCATAGGTTGATATGGATGGAGGACGCAGGGAAATGGGTAGGAGTGAATGAACAAATGGCAGAAGAAGGGCTATAAAACTGGCACCCAGATCAACAAGTCATCAAGATCGCAGCACACCCCCATGCAGCTCCTCAGATGCCTGGACTGGGAATGACAGAATAAAAGAAGGAAAAACATAAAAAGGGACATTTCAGTTGTCTAGAAACTTCCCAGAGGTAAGAGTACAAGATAAAATGCTGTTACTACAAGCAGAAACCTTCTTGCAAAACTGGGATCAATCCATAGACAGGACTTTGCTGCAGGTATGCTAAATGTTGGAATCACTGAAGTATGGTGTACAGGAAAGCCACATAAGAAATCTTCTGAACTACTGACCTTAAAATACACAACCATCTTCTACCACATATGGCTTTCAGGACCTGGGCATGGGAATTACAATTTGTTCTGTTTTACAGACACACTGAAGAACAAAGGTATGCTCCAGCTCATACCAGTATTTTGTACTAAAGTGGAGTGTGAATTCACGTGTCCTAACTCACACTCTTACCTCCTAACCACCACGCTGCTGCTTCTTCAGACACAGGGCTCGTTCCTTCAAGCCTTCAAAAGCCTCTATAAAGCAGGATTTTGACTCAGACCAAGGGCACACTGTTTGCAGCCCCAGCCAGGCTCTCTATTAATGTTCTTAAAGTCATTTTGTGTACCCCAGCTACTGCTGTCATCCTTTGTAACAGCTGGTTAGAAAGACCTGTTATAAGAAAGGTGAGATCTTTGGCTGAGTCACCCTCATGCCAAACAGGCAGTCTGGAGTATTTTTGCTGACTCCCTCTCATGTCAGACTAAGTCCCATTATCTCTAAAGCAGGAATATAAAGAGAAGTCTAATGTTTCTGGGAGGCAGTGGGGACTGCTGACACAGACATCTGTGTTACCTAAGGGCTTTGGGACAGGAAAAAGAGATGTGTGTCAGCTCTTTTGTACTGACTGCTCATGCACATACTCATATACGTATATATTACATGTATATATAGCATACTAATAGGCAGTAGCAAATTCTGTCTGCCCCTTGCTTATGTGCAATACTCCCAACTATAAAAATATGAAAGGTGGAGTGATGGGACCATGTTTGGGCTTGGTGTGACCAGAATAGTGTAGTCTCACCCCAAATATGACCCTCTGGATGTGACAAGAGTCTGGCTGATAGATCACACTCTTCTATACATACACACACAATAGTTATGACTCTGCTCAATTCCCCCCTCTAGATGTTCTGACTACATATACAATTGTGGCCACACAAAACAGCACAAGGACTGACTGGAGAAACCAGGACCACTTCTTCCACTTCATCTGATTAAAAGTGAAAGCAAAACTGTGGCCGTAATCTTCCTCACAGCACGATGCCACCACCTGTGAGTGAAATCACCCTCTGGAAGAGCCTCTCGGTGCTGTCTCTGGGTGGAGAAGGGGCCTGCAAGCAGGCTCCTAGATTAGGGACCTCAATGAAATCACTAAGTGAGATGAGACAGATAAAGGTCTTGGAAGGTTTTGCAAATTTGTGTTGTTTTCATTAAAAGAAGAATTAAAAATAAAATCCATATTACTTGGATCCAAAAATTTGTGATAAACACTAGGCTCAGTTTGAAGTTTATGAACAATTCAATTTTCCAGAGATTCATTTTGAGAGATCCTTGTACAATATTGATATGAAACCTGGCCAAAAGCAAAAGCTTTTGTGTGTTAAGACAGGGGTTTGTGGCCAAGTGAGCCAAGTTCACTGTCTTAAGAACAAAACTGCAAAGGCTGCTCTACACGACATGAAATTAAGATAACCAAATTATGCTTTGCTTGTGTCATTTGTTATTTTGGTCTAAATGATATTTTAATATTTTAATTTTTTTTTTTAGTAAGAGTTTTATATTCTGTGTGTGAAAAATTTACTTTCAGATTGATTACTTCATGAGAAGTGTACACAAGACCTTATATAAACAGAATAAAACCCACCGTGCACCAACATTAGCTATTTCAGTTTACCTGTAAAGAGAATTTATTCAATAGATGAAGTTGAAAAAAAAATAAAAATAGAGAAGTCTGTGAGGTATAATTCTCAGAATTTGTAAAGGGCTTGAAGGATACTCTTTAGGAAGGATGAGACAAGACATTTCTAATGGCTGGGAATCCCAGAAGCCACCTGGAACCCCTTGTTTGGGATAACCCTGCACGTCTGTATTTTTAAGATCTAATCTGCAAAGCTATCTGCAATTAAATGTTTTGGATCTGGGCTCACTAAGATTTCTTTAACCAAGCTTGAAATATATTTTTGTAACTAAATCCTTAGGAATGGATCTTGTTCCCACCATGATGCTTCTTCCCTTCTTCTTTCAGAATATGAAAACAAACCATTGCCCTTCAGAGAGACCCACTTTGCATAACAGTGCTTATGCAGACATCCTTCCTATCCTAAACAGCTGCCAAACTTTGGTCTCTGCTTCTAGGAGCGCTTTATATGGGTTTTATTTCCCAGTAGGCTCCACCAGTGATAAAGTTCTGGAACTACAACTCTCAAGTGCTGTAAAAGCTCCTGTACTGCTTAGAAGAAGCACAAGTGGGCATAATTCAAACCAGATACCCATTGCATTTATGTTTAGATGACATAAGAGAGAGAGGCTGTATGGGGGTTCTGATGATAATAATGACCCTTGCCCACTGCTGTGCATTCTTATCCCCCCTTTTTGCACTTCCATTAGCCCCTCTCATTGAAAACCCACCACAGCTTGCAGCTCCCAGCCCAGAGCCTAACTTGTCTGCTCAAGGACTCATGCTGGCTCCCTCACATGTTCAAGTCCAGTCCTTGGTACCAGCCAGGAATAGTATCAAAGAATGATACTGGTTTCTCTCTTAAGTGCCAAGAGATTCAACAGCCTGTCTGTGTCCTGTGAATCCTGGTATGTGCTGCCTGCAATGTCTGTTTCTATATATTCCTGCCAACTGCATGACTTCATTCAGCTGTGCCATATTCCAGACAACACAACACCAAAAATAGCACTGGCACTTACCTGAGCTGCCAGTGCCTTCTGATGCACTTCTGGATGTTTTTGGCTGGCTCTGTTTGCTACTTGTTCGTACAGTGACTGAAGGAGGAACAGTGCTGCTGCTGTCTCCACGAATCGTCGAGAGATCCTGCATGCTAAAGCTCCTTAGTCTCTCAGACAGGGCCCCCTGTCCCTAGTTAAACAAACAAGCAAATAACACACACAAAAGTTAGATTCCACAGTGCCTTTTAAGCCTTTCTCTCCCCTAACTTCATTGAAATCCATCAGTACAATGGGAAGAGAAAAAAATTCCTGGTTCAATAACCTAGAGAGGATAAAAATGAGTTGTTAAAAGCGTAATTTCCCTCTCTTTGCTCTTCCTTCTGGAGTGGTTCTATGCACAAAGTCTGATCATTCAAGTTTTTGATGGTGACCCTTTCTGATTCTTCAAATGTGAAGCTTCAGATGTGCCTTGGCCACATCTAAAGGAGCAGGATATTCTTGTCTCTTTCTAGTAGCTACTTTTCTTCCCTAGGATCTGAGTCAAAGAGGTGCTTGGCTTCAGAAACACAGTTATTCCATCAAAATAACTCCCTTTCAAAGTTAATCATCTATGATGATACTCACCCAGCTCTTCTCAGTCATACTGAGAATTTCCAAGGCACAGAAAATTTGAACTTTTAAAGTAATAGAAAGTTATTATTAAATGCAAAGAAATACTCCTGTGCTTTTTTTTCATACAGCTTAAGGAAGAAATGAGCTAGTACATTTTTCTTTCTTTTTAGATTACTCTCAATCAGGCAACAAACACGTCACTTGGGGAAAGGAATGTAGCTGTTCTTCATAAAGGATGGGTTGGTTAAAAGACACTTTTCATTAAAACTACATCCCATCAAGAAGCTGACTATAAGTATACCTCTTTCTGAATTCTCTAACCCTCATACTGCACCACTACCATAAAATAAGAATGCCAGAAAATACAGTCAAGACAGAACCTATCTGTCCTTCTCTGATGGCTACATTAAGTGATATTCACAATATAAATAACATAACCGTTAAAAAGTACATTTAGGCTTTAAGATTTTGTTGAGGGGGGAGGGTCTGAAAGATATTTCATAGCATACAGTCTTGAAAAAAATATTGAAATAAATACATAGAGCCTGATTCTAAAATTATGTCTGCTAGTGTAAATTAGGAAAAAATCAATGGGTGTATTGCCCTGTCTAAGAAAACAGATAAGGCACATCATAGCAACTCCCACACCACCTTCATTTGGAGCCATATTTGACAAAGCAGTATGCAAGTGGAAGCATAACCTGAACACTGCCAGAGGGCTCTGGGTTGGGGCTGGACCAGAATATATCACTGCTCCCTTCTGGGCTGCAGATGTGAGTATCCTGCCCACAAAACCAGGGTGCAGGTGAGGGGCCAGTGGAGAGTACACTCTGGTGCTGGCCTGGCACAGAGAAGGGACTCATCCTGACCATCCAGGATCAAAGGCAAGACTGGACACGTTCCTTGCTAAAGCCGTTCAGCAACACTGCCTGTGCCCTAGTGCACTGGCATTGATAGGTTGGGAAGGTAACACATTAATTTACCTACAAGTACTGATTTACCACCATCACTTCAGAAATCATGCGTGCAGACTGATGGACAATCACTGCCTCTACCCCACTTAATTTCTTAGCACCTTATTTTTAGGGACTGTAAGTAGACAAGGCATCGGGTGCTTACAACTCCAGTCACTGAGAGCTTGCACTTTCTACATTCAAGAAAACTGCTAGATCAGTAATCTCCCAACTTTTCAGCCTGAAGTTTTTCACACACACAAAAAAAATCCTTTAAGGGTTCAAACTACCTTCACAACTCGACAGCATATCAAGTTAAGCACAGGGAGGCTCTACATCAGGACTACAGCACCTCTCTGCATCGGCAAGAAGCAAAGAACACATGATGATAACTCCTCAGTGCTGTTCCAAAGCATCACCAGGAGAAATATGCATTATCTAAGAAAAAGAAAACTGAACTGTCCTCTGTACAGCAGTTACCTGGTGGAGCTGCACTGGGATTTTTCTCTTTATTTTACTGAATCTTTAGTTTCTTAAGATCTCTCTATGTATACTGAATTTGGCAGCATACAGCTTTTCTGCAGGTTACTACAAAGAAGTTTCCACACAGCCACATGCTCTTTTTGCTCTCTCATTAGCCTGTTCTACTTTTTGAAGCATTTTAAATGGATGTGGCTTTTTTTTTTGCTAGCATTTTATTTCGTTTATTTTATATGCTTGGCAGTGGAGTCCATAGAGCTGATGTTTTGTTAAAATCTCACCTCTCCCATCTCACTCTCCAACCTGCCACAAGAGTCAATGCCTGAATTTTGGCTACTTTCCTGCCAGTGGCTGAATCACTCTTGGGACATGTTCTCACTCCAACAGGCATCTCAAGTTTTTCTTCTTGGGCCAGACTAAGGTACCTCTACTCTGCAGTCTAAAATGCAAGTGTCACTGGGCTGGTATACTGAAATTTCCTTGCATGGCTGGTTAGCTGGGTGTGATCTCATCTGCCCAGAACTCAGTGCAATGCAGTTCTGGGTGGGCTGTGGAGCTTGCACTGAATTCCTGCACAGCTACGCTCTTCTCAGTAGCTGACTTAAAAGTTAACAACAAGACATTCTACCCTGCAGCTTGACCATAACAGACAGACCCGTAGCAAGAGCAAGCTGAGAGCAATCAGATCACTAAATAATATTTTGCTGTTGCAGAATGACTGCACCAGCAAAGCCAGAGGGTGAGCGATCCGTGAGCTGATGTAACCTGAGCGCTGTATTCCTCGGGCACCTCCAGCTCAAGTGTCAGCACTGCTCAAGCTTTTAACCTCCTCCCAGCTGCTCTGCTCAGCCAGTTAACCCAAATACCATTTAATTCCAGCGAGTAATCGATGTATGTGGATGTGAATCGGATTAGAGACAATATTTATCCATCAGACCAACCTGACAGGGAAGAGGGCACTAGCACATCCCTTTGCATTGAAAATCATAGAATGGTTTGGGTTGGAAGGGACCTTAAAGATCATCCAGTTCCAATCCCCCTGCCATCAGCAGGGACACCTTCCACTAGACCAGGTTGCTCAAAGCCTCATCCAACCTGCCCTGGAACACTTCCAGGGAGGAGGCATCCACAACTTCCTTGGGCAACCTGGGCCGGTGTCTAAAATGAAGAAGACACGTTAATATTCTTGCATTGCAACTTGTGATATAGCACCATATAATGATCAAAAGCCCCAGAGACAGCTCTGAAACAAGGGCCTGATATGTGCCTGTCATCTGTGAATCCATTACGTTAGCATGTAACATGTACAAACCACAGCCTTGAATACACAGTCACAGCAGCTCTGCTGAACAACTTTGGCTTCATCCAGGAAAAAACAGGAAAAAAAAAAATTAAAAATTGTCTTTTCTTGATTTTTGCTTTAATTTAACCTGAGTTCATAACAGCAAAGTTAAAGGTTGCTCATCAGATAATAGCAAAATATTACTGTTCCTACCATTCCATGAAACAGTTTGTCCAAAGCTCAGAAATGGCAGGGACAGCAAAGGCTCAGGCTGAGTGAAGACAGTAAACACGTGTGAAAACCTTCCAACTTCCCTTTCATTAATTTTCTTCCAAATTTTTGCACCTTTGGCCTTTGTAGGGACAGACTTAATTTAATTGCTTCTAGGGCACAACACAACACTCCCAAATCTTTCCCAGTTGCCACATTTCTACTTGACCCCAAATAGAAACATGACGAAAATTGTGATTATAATGGAATCAGGATGGTTTCAGAGTAAAAATGTTACCAACCTTAATTTTCCTGTCTGAGATAAGCAGCTGCTGTATATGAAATCACAAGCATTTGAAAAGTCAGCACTGTGAGAATTCACACTGCTGTAGTTACATGTTTTAGCAATAGACTTTATCCAGCTGTAACGTTTATTATTCCACAATAAGACTTATCATTTATTAACAAAAGAAAAAAAAAGTTAATAGCTTTATTTCACAACAGAATAGATTTAACACAGCACACATTTTGGGCCGTATTTGGTTAAAACAATCATGTGGAAGATGAAAAGCAGCTGTTTTGGGAATTTTTGTTTTCCATCTTGGCCATACAGATGCTCTTCCAACTGCTACGGACATGGGAGATGTCCTGGAAATTTCAGCACAGCGTGTGTCTGCACAGAGAGAAGATCCAGGTCCTGAAGCTATGTCTACACCACAGGCCAGAGGCATGTTTGCAGCATGTCCTCACAGATCTGGGCTAGTTTCATCCTACAGACCGTGGCAGCGGTAATATCATGTCACAGTCCCTGTGATAACAGCATTTCCCTGTGTCAGCAGCAAAACAGCGTGGTGGTGTCATACAGCCTTTTGAAAATGGGGACTAGAAGGGCTGTGGGACTGTGGATGACACCAACTCTCTCCCTTCATTGAACACCAACTGCCCTGTCAGGATGATTGTGCTGGCAGTGTGGGACCTGTATTTTGGGGACTTCATCCTCTGGTAGAGCACATAAGCATGAAGTGGTGCTAGAAGACTGAGCCCTACTCTCCCTGGGCCTAAGACTGCCTGCCTAGGCTCAACTGCTACCTCATCCATCTTCTCCTAGGACGCAGACTGTCCCTGTAAGCACAGCACTTCTGATCCAGTAGACTGATTTTACTAGATGGTGAAGTTTTGGTGGCAACAAGTGGGAGCAGGTGCGTCTCTGTTCCCTGCTCACCATAGTGTACCTGCTCCCAAATTCATCTGATCTTGTCCCTAGGGAAATTCACTTCATAAGTGAAGGAACAGCACAAGCTGAAAGCAGACCTCTTCAGGCTTCCTTCACCTCTTCTTCTCCCAGGACCCACCAACCTCACTAGATCCGTACATAGAATCACAGAATCATTTAGGTTGGAATAGACCTTTAAGATCTTTGAGTCCAACCACACATGGGACAGTTCCCTCTTTACAGGGGCAGAGAACTGACAGGTTGGGCAGGTCTCAGTGCTACTGAATAGGACAAAAGACAAATACTAAAAAGGAAATGGTAAGATCAGCCCCTCATAACTGCTATCACCTGGTATCAACCTTATTTAGACTCATGACACTACCAATGGTATCAGGGCATGGCCCATCAAGAGATGGACAGTTAAGCTGCAGAAGCTCATC